GACAAAATTAAAGAAAGTTGTCTTAGATGGTTTGGTCACATTAAATGTCGACCATCTGATGATCCAATTAGGAGAGTAGATGTTTTAGATTCGACTTGTGTTAAGAAAGGCAGAGGTAGACCTAGGAAGACTTGGGCTCATTGTATTAAAAATGATCTTAGTTTACTAAAACTAAATGAAAATACGACACTAGATAGGAAGCAATGGAGAAAAAAGATTCATGTAGCCGACCCCACGTAGTGGGATTAAGGCTTTGTTGTTGTTGTGTATAATTTATATAATATTTATTTATTTCATATTTCAATATTTATATCTCGATTTCGATATTTGGTCTTTTTTCTTTTCATATTTTCAATGCATATAAAACAAAAGTTTGCCTAATATCTACACTAATCATATGTTATAATTTTTAAGATATGATTTATTATATTTCCTATTTCTCTCTTCCACCCATATTGATACCAATTGGTTATACTAATAAGATAGGTGTTTTTCAATTTTATAAATTATATTATTTTTACTAAATACTCCTAATACTCTCTCGATTTTAACTTTTGATCTTTCATAATGTGTTACTAAAAAAATCATAAAACAATAAATTTAATAATTTATATTAGATTTACTCCATTTTTTCGTTAGTTATTCTTCCCTATTTTGGCTCAGAAATGCATATCAAACTGGGTTTTTTTAAGTTTAAAAAAATATAAAAGTTATAACGTTGTGTCCATCATCTGTTTGTATCCTATAGTTTTAACAAAAGATGTGTTTTATGCCCATGTCGTGTTGTGTCCATGCACCAACTCCATGCCTGTTCATTATATGTAATTATAAACAAACACATAGCAGCTTCCTTCTAAATATGTACTCATATTCAAAAATCTCCAGTAATTCCTATAATCCAATTTGAATTTGAGCACCTTCAAGCTGAATTTCAGAGCATAAACTAAGAATACAAAAAAAAATATCCCAAGAAATTTTTACCAGATACTTCATTGCTAGAACCATCTTGCTATATATAAAAATCAACTGGGTTGAAAAACAACTGCATATGCAACTAAGGATGGTGTAATTCAGACTACAAATTTCCAAGCTTATTTGATGGAGTGTGTAAGACAAAGAGAGAAATCACTTAAATCTCAAATTAGATACCAATTTAAAGGGCAATTTGGTAGAGCCTTTTAATAAGATTTATCATTGAATTTACTAAATCCAGTCAAACAGTATAATGCACGAGTTTCATGGATTTATGAATTTTAGGATTTAGTGGTCCGAATCTTGCCTTCAATTCTGCTTAAATCCGGATTTACTAAAGCCAAGGGTTGGGTGAATTTACGGATTTACTAAATCCTACTTGCATCCAAACAGCACCTAAATCATTACTTTGTTACACGCACCCCTGTCAAACTGATTATCAATACTATAATCCAAACACAGTTTAGTATCCATTCCCCAACCATGGAGACAATAAATGACAAATGCAACTCAAAAATAGAAGCTCTACGCAGACCCCATTAGTATTTCGAATCATAAGCCACCACCAGAACGGTATAAATGCAAAAGTCCGAAATAGATTACTGACCTCGGCCCACAACAAGTAGCCAATGATGAAACCCTCGCGCTACTCCTCGGAAG